TGAAAAGAATGAGTAGATCATTTGGCATTCTGCAGTTATGCCAACAGGCATGACTGCTGTCAAATTAACTGAGCAAGAAAGGGATCCACATTGCACTATTCCTAGCAAATACCAAAAGCAGGACAGAAAAAAGATACTGTGCTCATGGTAGTTTATCTTTTACTTTTTATTGATTTCTTGATTTATTTAGTTTGTTTTTTGAGATGGACCCTCACTCTGTCACCAGGCTGGAGTGCAGTGGCATGATCTCGGTTCACTGCAACCTCCGCTTCCCCAATCTCAAGCCATCCTCATACTAGTTTATCTTTTAAATGACCGTTAAGTCCCCATTTTAAACTGACAAACATTTGACTGATACTACACCTTAGAATTCTCCTGAAATGTTTGTTTTTGCCACTCAACAGTAAGCTTATAGAATCTGGAAAATGAATTTGTAGTAGAGGCTTGCTCCTTGAAGTAGCTACTGTTGCTTTTAAAAGAAGCCCTCCTGTCTGGGCGTGGTAGCACACGCCTGTAATCCTAGCACTTGGGAGGCAGAGGCGGGAAGATGACTTGAGCCCAGGAGCTTGAGACCAGCCTGGGCAACATAGTGAGACCCTGTCTCTACAAAAAATAAAAATTGTCGGCTGGATGGCATGGCTCATGCCTGTAATCCCAGCACTTCGGGAGGCCGAGGCAGGAAGATCACCTGAGGTTGGGAGTTCGAGACCAGCCTGATCAACATGGAGAAACCCTGTCTCTACTAAAAATACAAAATTGGCCGGGTGTGTTGGGGCATGCCTGTAATCCCAGCTACTTGAAAGGCTGAGGCAGGAGAATCTCTTGAACCCGGGAGACAGAGGTTGTGGTGAGCTGAGATTATGCCATTGCACTCCAGCCTGGGCAACAAGAGTAAAATTCTGTCCCCCTCACAAAAAAAATTGTCTAGGCATGGTGACATGCACCTGTGGTCCCAGCTGCTTGGGAGGCCAAGGTGGGAGGATGGCTTGAACCTGAGAGGTCGAGTCTCAGTGATCTCCGATTGTGCTACTGCACTATGCACCACAGTCTGGGTGACAATGAGTCCTGTCTCTGAAAAAAAAAAAAAAAGCTCTCCAAAGGACAAAAGTTTCAGATTCACCATAACACATCAGATGTTCCCCTGAAGGGCTTGCCTCTGAGATTATTCTTCTCTGGGAAAACCCTATACAAAATGAAGGCAAAAAAAAATCTACTAGTTACTGTATTTTGAAAGTGGGTTGTCTAAGACTCCTGGGCAATTTACACAAATTTATGCACGTTATTTTCCAAATCCAGGTATGAAAGGAAATCAAGCAAACCTGTCTGTTTGAGGTATACTGCTTTACTCTGCAATTTTTTATTATTTTAGATTGAGGAGGTACATGTGCAGGGTTGCTACATGGGCATATTGCATGATGCAGGGGTTTGGGCTTTTAATGATCCCATCATTCAAGTAGCAAACACAGTACCCTGTCGACAGTTTTCAACCCTTGCCTCTCTTACCTTTGGGAGCCCTCAGCATCCATCGTTCCCATCTTTATGTCCATGTGTACCCAGTGCTTGGCTCCCACTTAAAGTGAGAACAGACAGTATTTGGTTTTCTGTTTCTGTATTAACTTGCTTAGGATATCAGACTCCAGCTGCATCTATGTTGCTACAAAGGACATGATTTGTTCTTTTTCATGGTTGTGTAGTATTCTGTTGTGTGTATGTACCACATTTTCTTTACCCAGTCCACTGTTGATGGGCACCTGGTTTGATTCCATGTGTTCACTATTGTGAATAGTCCTGTGATGAACATATTGAGTGCAGGTGTCTTTTTGGTAGAAGAATTTATTTTCCTATGGGTATATATCCAGTAATAAGATTTGCTGGTACACAAGGTAATTTTTAGTTCTTAAAGAACTAAAAATTTTAGTTCTTATTGTTAGTTCTTTAAGAAATCTCCAAACTGCTTTCCACAGTGGCTGAACTAATTTGCATTATCACCAATGGTGTATAAACAGTCTCTTTGTCCCAAAGCCTCAGCCACATCTGTTATTTTCTGACATTTTATTCATAGCCATTCTGATGGTATGAGATGGTACCTCATTGTGGTTCTGATTTGCATTTCACTAATGATTCGCAATACTGAATTTTTTTTCATATTTTTGCTGGCCGCTTGTATGTCTTCTTTAGAGAAGTGTTTGTTCTGTTCATGTCCTTTGCCGACTTTGTAATGCAGTGTTTTTTTTTTTTTTTTTTCTGGTGTGATGATTAATTCTGCAAAAAGTTATTTTATTTAACAGCATGGACTTCATACACATACATTGTCAATGCCTTGAAAACCAAAGAACTTTAAAAGGTAACAATAGTTTCTAGTTTCTGCATGTACAAAAAAGTACACATTTATTTGTTTATTTATTTATTTGAGACAGAGTCCTGCTCTGCAGCCCAGGCTGGAATGCAGTGGTGTGATCCCGGATCACAGCAATCTTTGCCTTCTGGGTTCAAGTGATTCTCATGCCTCAGCCTCCTGAGTAGCTGTGACTACAGGTCACTCTAGGCTCTGAGTCTGGGCTGGCCACGTCCTCCACAGGCCAAGAGTTGGCGCATGAGGAAGGGTGCTTGGGGATTGAAAAGGGTGGTAGAGTCCTTTGGGTGCGGTGTCAGCAGTGCAGTGTCTGGAAGATGGCTTATTTTAATTCCATAGAGATCTTCATGCCCAATGAGTGGGCATGATGCCTGATCTTTGCCAGAATTGACCCATAACTTCTAATCTTTCTCAGAGTCAGCTATTCTTAGCATTGGTGATATGCTGATAACTTCATTTGCTGTCTGTGAATCCCTTACTGTGATAGTTTTAGAATAGGCACAATTCTCAATGTCCTTGGTGGAGATTTTGAGGGAAATGCTCATTGGGTCATCTTTCTCTTTCTCGAGATGGATGTGTCTCTGAAGGAGAGAGAGCCATTTGTCCTTCTGTTCTGGAGAACTGAAAGTGGCCACAGAATTTCCTGTGGGTCAGCCCAGAGCGAAGGATCTCACGGCATTGGTGTTGCCTTCTTCCTCTTCATCCTCACAGCTTGCTGTCCACATACTAGTTAATCTAATTTTATTTTGTATCTTACAGTTATTGTTATATTTGAGTTTGGCCACAACAGATCATTGAATAGGAAAAGATGCTCCTCCTGCCTGTGCAGGCCTCTTCTGAGTTCTCCCTGGCTGTCAATCAGCAGAGTCCTATTGGAGCACCCAAATGATGACAGAATTGCACCTATGTGATGCTAGCAGAAGGAAACTTGGTAACTAGGCCGTTTTTGCAGGACTTTATCCAGGTTAAGAGCAGGGGCAATTCTCCTTTCTGTTAGTGTTTTCTTCTTCCAAAGCTAAACTCACAGGCAGGCATTGTTGGCCCTGACAACTTCGGAGCTGACCCTGCTGAAGGGCCACGCTCACCCAGGCCACTGTGGGGGATCCAGGGGCACAGCACGCTGAGGAGTTAGGGAATGGGGATTCCTGCACTCCAGCCTGGCACCCCTACTGAGGGCGGAGTCTGGCTGCTGATGAGGCAGGAGGCAGCTGGAGGTGGGAGGGAGGCTGCCGGTCCATTCAAAGAGAGAGTAAGGCCCCAGATACGGAGAAAGAGGAACGGGCGTAGAGGGTTTTGGGGGAGGTGGCAGCAGGGCTGGCCGTGAGGGGCAGGATCTTGGCTCACTGCAACCTCCACTTCCCAGGTTTAAGCGATTCTCCTGCCTCAGCCTCCTGAGTATCTGGGATTACAGTCTCCCACCACCGTGCCAGGCTAATTTTTGTATTTTTAGTAGAGACAGGTTTTGCCTTGTTGACCAGGCTGGTCTTGAACTCTTGATCTCAGGTGATCCTCCTGCCTTGGCCTCCCAAAGTGCTGGGATTATAGGTATGAACCACTGCACCCAGCCTCTAAAACATTTTCTGCCATCTGGTAATTACTCCTGGCTGATTTTGGGATTTCTATTAGCAGGAATTTTTCTTCTTGTTGTGGTTGTTATTTAAATAAATAAAATACATGGTATTAACTCTCTGAAGGCTTCCTGTGAAGAATTGAGTTGATGATTGAATAATCATTTAAGAATAAATAAAATCCTTTCCTACTAGTTAATTGGAGAAATTCTTCAATTTTCCTGAAGTAGTCACACTTTCCTTAAAATTATTAAAAGTTTTAAAGTATCTACCCAATAATTAAGAAAAACATGTAGCTGGGCACATCGGCTCAGGCCTGTAATCCCAACACTTTGGGAGATCGAGGTGGGTGGATCACCTGAGGTCAGTAATTCGAGACCAGCCTGGACAATATGGTGAAACCCCGTCTCTACGAGAAATACAAAATTTAGCCAGGTGTGGTTGTGCTCACCTGTAATCCCAGCTAATTGAGGCAGGAGAATCACTTGAATGGGTGGTGGTGGAGGTGCAGAGGTTGCAGTGAGCCAAGACTGTGCCACTGTACTCCAGCCTGGGCAACAGAGCAAAACTCTATCCTAACTAACTAACTAAATAAATGTAGTTGAATTTTAAAAATATAATTAGGTTTTAAATGTCTATCAGTGTAAAGTAAGAAAAGAAGTAAGTGGTTAATGCTGAAATATGTAGCTAAAAGTTAAAATCACAAGTGGGCAGAGATGAATCCATTTGTTTTGATAACATGGAGATTATTTATGATCTGCGCTAGCAGGTATGATACAGCAGAGGAGACAGAATTAAAATTAGATAGTTGGTGGTTGAACCAGGTACAGCATTTCAGGCCTATAATCTCAGCACTCTGGCAGGCCCCAGGAGTTTGAGACCAGCCTGGGCAACATAATGAGACTGTATCTCTAAAAAAAAAAAAAAGTTTAGAAATTTAAAAATTAGATTAGTTGGCGGAGTGAAGGAGAGGTGAAGAAATAGATACAAACAGTGTAGGCACCTCTTACTAGGTCCTCTTGTCTCCACTATAACTCTTGGCAGGCTTTCTTTGATGAGGCAGAAATAAAACTATGTTATCATTCTCAGATTAAAAAAAAACATTTATTGTAATAAGACTATTGCAAACACATTAAAAAAAACTAAATAGTAATATTACAAAATCTCTATACTTGCACATTTAGTATTTGTCGGTGTTCCAGAGGTTTTCTCCATGAAATTTGACTTCTTTGAAGTGAAGGCATTTTTCCGTCATCCCTTATAACTCTATCTGAATAAGTCTTAATGCTTTCTTCATGTTGTCTATCACTGAAATAAGAGTTAATATATATTATACTATTAATAAATGAAAGTACAAATGCTATGATTTAATAACTCTAGACTCTGAAATTAACCCATTTAAATTAATAGCTTAGAAAACATGGGAATTCATCTGTGACATTAAAGAATATGCTAAAGGTGTATGTGAATTTAGGGATTAGACCATTGAGAGCTGGTTGGTCATCTTTATGTTGAACAATTTTATCAGTAGTGTTTTGAGTAGTATGTCTTTTTCTTAAATGGATCATTTTGTATTAGTATTGCTAGATCTTACAGGCACAGTTATCTTATTAAATATAGTTGATAATGAATGTTGTAAAAAATAGATTTGGCTAGGCTTGGTACGTCATGCTGGTAATCCCAGCATTTTGGGCAGCTGAGGCCGGAGGCTCAGTTGAGGCCAGGAG